GTAATGGACTTAGCCCGGGATGGCCCAGCCAAGGCCTAAGAGTCCAATCTAGTCCCAAAGACCCGAGCCTAACCCCTAAGACCCCAAACCAGCCCTGAAGGGTGGAGCCTAGCCCTGAGGAGCCAAACTCATACTCGAATAAGACATTAGCTTCTATTTAAGTGAGGTTTACCCTTTACAGGTAAAGTGTTGATGAGACGATAATTATGGGATGGCAGTATGTGTTTTTTTCCTCCCCTGCTGTGGACATTCATCTGCTGTTTTCTCTTTACTTACAACAAAAATGTCCTTAAGGGAGAGGTAGCAAATGCATCATTAGGAGATCCCTGAAGAAGGGGCACCCCATCCTTTCAGGTACCAGAGGGTGAAACAGGATAAATGTGAGAGATGAGAGCTGTCCTGTTCGGGGTGTACTGAACGGAGAGGACTTTCCTGGGAGTAACTGTGATGTCATTGAATATTGAACTCACTGAAATCTGAATCCCCTTGTTTTCCCAGTGGGTTTGGGTCAAGATCCCTGTTCTGTTTCTTAAGTGGAAGCTTAGTAATCCTGACATATCAACAAGGACCATAACTAACACTTACTGAGTGCCAAGCACTTCGCTAAACACTTGCTACATTCTCTCTTTTAATCCTCACAAAACCCAGTGAAATAGGTGGTGCTGTGATTATTATCCCCACTTTACAGATGGGAAAATGGAGGCTCAGACAGGTGAAAAACATGCCCAAAGTACCTGGCTATTGCCTGGTGGGACTAGGGTTTGAACCCAGGTCTCTCAGGCTCAGAGTGTCAAACCATTCTGCTATACCTCTGCTTGATTCAAGAACTCTGTTCACCAAGCCGACTCCTGGCATCAAACCTGGCCCTGGCATTAATACACGGCTTCAGGAAACACAGCTGTTCGGAGGAGGCAACAGCTGTGCATTCATTTACCACTTCACCAAGCCACATGAATTAAAACACCATAAGGTAAGGCTCACTCAGTCTCAAACACGAGGACAGGTAATTATTGTTTTAATTAAAGAAAATAAATTCCGCTCCCTCCTCCCCTTCCAGGTCAAAACACTTGAGTATTGATTTCTGTAGGAGGTAAAGGAATAAGTTGAGACAAGACATTTTTTTAAAGTTATTGGTTATATCAATTCTATGTACATCACGGTGTATGCCCGAAAGGAAGACAAATCAGGATGCTTTTCATTCATTCACCCATTCATTCAGAGAGTCTTTCTTTCAACACATATTGACTGAGCACCTGCTATGTGCTCATTTTAAGCACCACAGGAAGACTTCATGGACTAGACAAGCCTGTCTTATCTCTTCAGTCCGGAAGGTATCACATCCTTGCAACTGGTAGGGAAAGTTCTCTCTGAATGAAGGTATCAACTGGATTTCATGAACTCTTTCCCAAAATAACCCCCTAAAACAACTCCTCCCTTCAAGGTCTCCAACAGGGCCCAGAAGAGGAAGAAGGCGAACAGGTGAACAGCCCTGGAACTCAGCCCTTCTCAGGAACCCAGAGAGACATGCAAACACATGGCTGGCAGTCAAAGTGGCCTCAGTCTGGTGAGTATCTGTTTCTAGCATCCCTTTTGGGACTCCCCCCCCCCCCCACTTCTCATTGTCTCCACCCATTTGCTAAGGTTGCCGTAACCACGTGCCACAGACTGGGTGGCTTAAAGGACAGGAAATGATTTTCTCACCGTGGAGGCCAGAAGTCCAAGATCATGGAGTTGGCAGGATTGGTTTCTTCTGAGGCCTCTCTGCTTGGTTTGCAGATGGCCGCCTTCTTGTGCCCCTGGTATCTCTCCCTCTTCTTTAAAAAAAAAAAAAAATATATATATATATATATATATATATATATATGTATATATATTGATTTCAGAGAGGAAGGGAGAGGGAGAGAGAAATATTAATAATGAGAAAGAATAATTGATCGGCTACCTCCTGCACACCCCCTTCTGGGGATCAAGCCCGCAACCCAGGCATGTGCCTTTGACTGGAATCGAACCTGGGACCCTTCAGTCCTCAGGTTGACCCTCTGTCCACTGAGCTAAACCAGCTAGGACTCTCCCTCTTCTTATAAGGACACCAGTCATATAGGATTAGGGCCCCACTCTAATGACCTCATTTAACTTAATTAGCTCTTTAAAGACCTTGTCTCCAAATATAAGTCACATTCTGAGGTGCTGGGCTTAGGAATTCCACAGAGGAATGGGGGAGGGGAACACAGTCCAACCCATAACAGCCTCCCTCCCTCTTCCCAGGTCCCCAGTGGCGCCATAACCCTAAAGAGCAATAAATCATTTAAATGCTCTGCCTCAGTTTACTCATCCGTAATGCAGAACTAATACTAATAGTACCTAGTGCACAGGGCTGCTAGGAGGGTTAAGTGAGTTAATGAGTCTAAGGCACTGAGAACAGTGCCTGGCACAGGGTGAGCTCTGTGTAAGTGTTTATGAAATGAAGCACGGAAATATAAAACACATTTTTTCTAAAGTGTTAGGAGAGCATTATGTTGTTAGTTCCTTCCAACTCCTCCCCCGCCTCGCCCCCCCCCGCCCCCCCAAGAGTTTGCTTTTTCTGGACAATACACGGCATCAGTGACAGGATCACTAATTCACGATAGGGGAGCTGTATCTATTTGAGGGTGCGGGCCCTCCAGCATTCTTTGAAACACACTGTTTAGTGACTAGCGATCTACTCAAGAATATTAAGAGTAGCCAACATTTATTAAGCGCTAATGATATGCGGGGCACTATGCTCAGGGCTTTACCAGCGGTAACTCTGTGAAGGAGGTGCTCTTATTATTCCCATATTACAACTGAGGAAACGGGGGCTCCAAAAAGCCTCACCTGACGGCCAAGGTCCCCAGGTAAGAGAATGGCGAGATAGGCCAGACTGACTCCAGTGTGAGCAAATCAGAAGCGGAGCGTGTGTGTGGTGGGGGTCTCCTCTTCCTCCCCCCTTTTCCATCACCACCACCCCCCAACACCACCACCTCTCCCTTTGCTAAATGACGCGTCCCCATGGCCAAGGCTACACTCTCTTTGCTACAGGAAAAATCCAAGCGGCTGGGACCCGACCCAGCGCCACCTTGCGAGCCCAGCATTTCGAGGGGCAGGCTTCCAAACAGGGTAATAATCGTCCCATTAAAATCAATGTCCGTGAAGTGAGCCGTTAAAAGCGCGCAGATTAAAAAGGGGGGGAGGAGGGAATTGTTCAATTTAAATCCAAAGGGCTTTTTAAATAGACACTGTATCTTCATTCTTGGAACACGCTACACCGGGCAATGGATCGGGTCCCCTCTGCAAAGACTTGGGGGGATTAAGGAGGTGAGTCCCAGGAGAAGGGGGAAGTGGTTCTGGCCAGAAGCAAAGGGAACCAGGGCTTATCCAAGGCCCACTGCATGCCAGGTGCTTGGCACACATGTCTCTCGTTTAATCTCTGCCCCGATCCTGGGACGGAGGTATTATTATTCCCAGATCACAGGGGGCAGTATAAAGCCGTGGTTACCAGCTCAGAGCCCACAGCAGACGGCCCCAGTTTAGATCCGGATTCATTCCTCACTAACTGTGAGTTGGGCAAGAGGCCTTACCTCCCGGTGCCTCAGTTTCCTCATCTGTAAGATAGGCTCTTAACAGCACTCCCACCCCTAATTGTTGGGAGTTTTACTTGAGGCAGCCAGGCAGGGGCCTTAGCCCAGTGGCCTACATAGAAGGCACTCAGAAGTGCTGACCATGATTAGGGGCAAGGAATGGGGCTGGGCCACAGTAAGGGCCACCAAAGCAGAGCTGGGACATGAGCCTGACAAGCTGCAGGCCAAAGGGAAATCTCTCCTCCTAATAAATCCAGACCAAACTCAGTTTACTGTCCTGGAGAATCTTTTCCAAGCGACCAAAGACGCCTCAGGCCTTGGCAGCTCTGCCCAAGGAAAGCAGAGAATCAAGGCTCCTCCAGTTTTCTGAATCCCAATGAATTTAACATCAGAGAAGGTCTTTCTCCCCCCCCACCCACCCACCTCACCCACCCCCAATAATCCTGAGAGACCCCCACGCTCATCTGTAACTTCACTAGCAGGGACAACGCCACACTTTCTAGTCTGGGGGGACATAGGGCCTTCGGTTTGGAGAGGGGCTAGAATCCCTATGGACACCCTCACCCTGGCCCCCCGCCGACCCCTTAGGACCTCCAGTGCCATTAATTCGGGATCGCCACTAGAAACTGTAACCCAGCAGCAAAACAACATCCACAAAGGGCGCAGACAAAAACAAGTTCCTTCTAGAAGGCCCCTGGTGAGGACTTGGGGGTGCGAGCGCCCCGCGGGGGCTAAGGACCGACCCCTCTTACCCCCACCTGCCTCCACAGGCTTCTAGCTGCGCTGGGGGTGCGTTCGGTTCGGCCGCCCTGCGGAGAGGGGTGGGGGCGTGGATCGGTGTGTTCAAATCCTAAGCCTACAGGTGCCGAGTCAGACCTGAGAGTAGGCAAGTTGGGTTGCATCTGGCTCTCTCGGAAGATTTTGAACCAACCTACCTCCCTACCACAAAACAATGGCCTCGGTATATTTTTGAAGAACGCAGCCGAATTCGATTCAGCGTCATCCCAAACGGCAAACAAGCCTGCTTCCCTGGCCAAATCGGAACTGGAGCTGGATTTCGGAAAAAATGAAGGAGAAAACCTTTCCTTGAGCTCCACGCCTCAGCGGGGGTCCCCCGCGACCCCCCAAACCGGGGACCTCCGCGGCGGGGCGCCGGGTGGCGTCCCAGCGCGCCACGCTCCTCTGCTCCCGAACCGCACACCCCCTTGGTGCCGGCGCCGCTAGGGTTAAAAGTTACCTCTCGGTTTCTTCTGCCTGCAGCCCCCCCCCCCTCCCGGGGCCGGATGATGTAACCCCCCTCCTCAGCCCTCCCCGCCCCCCTCCACCATGTGACACTTTAATTAATAATAGCGCCGTCAGCACAACAAACGCACAACACAAGGAGAAACTTGGTGTCCAGGGGAGGCCCCCGGCGGCTGGAGCGCGGCGGAGGCAGGCGCAGAGGCCGGAGGCAGAGGAGGCGAGGGGCGGCCCGAGCTCGGGGAGGGAGCGAGGCGAGCGGTCATGTGCCCGTGCCCCCTGCACCGCGGCCGCGGCCCCCCGGCCGTGTGCGCCTGCAGCGCGGGGCGCCTGGGTCTGCGCTCCTCCGCCGCGCAGCTCACGGCCGCCCGGCTCAAGGCGCTCGGCGACGAGCTGCACCAGCGCACCATGTGGCGGCGCCGCGCGCGGAGCCGGAGGGCGCCGGCGCCCGGCGCGCTCCCCACCTACTGGCCCTGGCTGTGCGCGGCCGCGCAGGTGGCGGCGCTGGCGGCCTGGCTGCTCGGCAGACGGAACTTGTAGGAACGCGGGGCTTCTTGGTGGGGCCGGAGCCGAGACCCAGCCGGAGCAAGCAACAGGTACGCGAGCCGGCCAGCGAGCGCCAGGGCGCGGCGGCTGGGGGCTGGAGACGCTGGGCTGGCCTGGGAGCCGGAGAGCCACAAGTTGAGCTTCCTTCCCTTCCCATCTCCTTCTTCCTCTGCTTCCTTCTCTCACAAGGATCTACGTGTCCCTCCTATCCAGCCCCCATCTCTCCTTCCACGTGTCAGGCCCACCGTTTCTGTCCCCTTCTCTTTGACTCCTTCAGCGCATCTTGCCACTACCTCCAGTGGGATGGCTAGGGGAGGACTTCGGCCTCCACACCCCCCACCAGCCGCTCAAATCAACACACAATACGAGAAAAAAGTGTGCTTGCTGTGACAACGTAGTTACAAGCCACGCCAGATAATTATAATCTAGCGCTGTTTCAAGACAAGTCCCCCATCCTCTTCCGAGCCGCCTGGCGGTCCTAAGTCGCCACAGTCTCCATCAGCTCCACTCCAAGCCCGGTTCCTCTAAGTGTCACTTCTCCAGTTTCTGTTCCCCAGTCTCCCGCGCCCAGAGCGCATCTCCATCCTTCCTCCCTCTCCGGGTTGCTAGCTGGCGCTCTTTCTCCCCAAGGCCCGCGCACTTGGCAGTTTCCCTTCGCGTTGGCAACTTCTTCGCTGCTTCTCCAGCGAGGTGTCCCGTGTAAGGAACGTGGCCCACTCTTCACCAGGCGGTTGGAGCTGGGGTGGAGAAGGAGATGCCCCCCGAAGTGGGCTGGGATCGGAGGCTCTTAGGGAAGCTCCCATGGGGGGGGGGGGAGCCTTAACGAAAGAGCATTTAGTGAGCTCCTCTGGGTGCTATGCCCAGATTAGGAAGGGAATGTTGGAGACCCTGCTAGGCACTGCGCGGTGGTGGGGGTGGGGAGTGAGTAGTGAGCACCTCGTGTGTTTGGTACTAGTGGGATAGGTACTGATCACCTACTGTGCGCTAGGCCCGTGGGGTTGGGGAAATTATTGAGGACCAGCTGTGCGCCTGGCACTGAGTTAGGCGCTTCGGGGAAACAAACGTGTAAGGAAAGTCTTCTTTTCAGATTCTGGAATAGAGAGGGGAGCTGCAGAGAATGGGGTGGGGGAATCAGGCTGAGCCCACCATAGGTGAGTCTCGGGCCAGAGGGTGAAGGTCGAAGGTGAGAGAGCCAGCCACTCCGGGATGCCGAGGCCCACTGATGCCGAGCCACGCGCTGACACTCCGGGAAGCTGGCGCGGCGCCCGCAGGCGAGGCCCGAGCGTCTGCGCCCTCGGGGAGAGGCGGCAGCCGGAGCGTGGGGGGTGGCAGCGCCCCGGGAGCTGCGGGGGTGCGCGGGGTGTGAGCCGGGAGCGCGGGCGACAGATGTCTCGTGGGCCGGCGCAGCCCGGGCGCTGGTGAAGAGAGGCGCGCACTTCGGGGCGCACCCTGCCCGGCTCCCGGAGGTCCCATCCGCGATTACTCCTCGGGAGAGGGGCTCCCTCAGCCGGCAGCGGCCAGGCTGCGGCTGCCAAGTCCCCAGGGGCCGAAACAACATTTTTGGACCGGGCGCAGGGAGCAAATAAATAAATAAATAAATGGACTGGAGAGAGACCCTGAGCTTGAAGCCCAAAGCGTGGGATTTGGAAAAAGGTGGAAAGGAAGGGAATGAAAACAGGCGGCGAGACGGGGAAAGAAAGGAAGGTCGGGGGAGCTGGAGAACAAGTGGCAAGATAGCGGGAAAGTGGGTTAGAAGAAAAGATGGAAGGAAGCGCCAGCCGGTAGAAAGGGGAGGAGGCTGGGACAAGGCTTCCTCCTGTCTTGGGGTCCAGGTGAGGTTCGGGAAGGCGCTTCCTTCCCAGGACGGGGCGGTGCGGGATGCTGGGCAGCCCACCCAGGGGGCGGGGAACCCGGGAGCTGGGCCTCTCTGTGCGCCCCGGGCTGGGGTGCCCCCAGGACTCCAAGGAGGAGGTGGTGCGTGGCTGTGGCCTCGCCCGGGCTGCAGGTGAGGGGCGGAGAGGAGCTTCGCTCGTGCGGCGGGTTAGAGTTTATTTCCCCTTCAAGCCCTGCTTCTGCCCCAGAGTTCCCTGCTGCGTCCTGACTTAAGGCCACCCCCTGCTCGTCCCCCAGCCACGCATCCTCCAGGAATCTCACGCCTGGGATGCCCTGACCCCAGGACGCACGCCCCTTTCCTCCAGCGCCACCCCTCACTCCCTGGGACGCCTGAGCTCCCTCCCAGCCTTGGTTCCTAACCAAGGGACTGGAGTTCTCTGCAGCTCAGACTTTTTTGTGCTTTTGGCTCAACTGGGAGACCCATCTTTCCCCAGCCTCGGGTAAGATAGGAAGAAGTGGGAGGAAATCCATAGGAGAAAGACCATTTGATGAGTTCTGTTTGTGGTCCTCTCCTCTTTTCCTACGCTCCAAGGGAAGTGGGGATCCTCATAGGATAGTTTAGGGGGTTCAGGGCACCTGAGTCAACCATATAAGGCAGACAAGATTTCCCTTAGGCATTAAGGGTGGGCTTAGCTGTATGCAGGACAACCGTTTCAACAGTCTTGTTTTGGGTCTGTACTGTGAGCCAGCAATACTTTTCTCAGAGCTCATTATAAAAAAAATCCTGGATGCCCTAACCGGCTTGGCTCAGTGGATAGAGCATCGGCCTGCGGACTCAAGCGTCCCAGGTTCGGTTCCGGTCAAGGGCATGTACCTTGGTTTCGGGCACATCCCCAGTGGGGAGTGTGCAGAAGGCAGCTGATCGGTGTTTCTCTCTCATCGATGTTTCTAACTCTCTATCTCTCTCCCTTCCTCTCTGTAAAAAGTCAATAAAATATATATTTTTTAAAAATCCTGGAAAAGAAACAACCCTGAGACTCAGTTTTCCCATATGTAAAATGGGGACAATTATAGTACTTAATGCATAGATGTTGTCAAGAGGGTAAAATGAATTCAGACATAGAAAGGTCTAGAACAGTGCCTGGAGCATAAGAAGGGGGATATAAATGTGAGCTGTCATGATTATGATTGTGTATTTAATATTTTTTTCCCCAAAGTAGACAACATTTTGCCGTAGTCATTGCTGGCAATTCCACACTATTCCTACTTGCCCTTTTGAAGAACTAGGGCCAGATGGGCCAGGATAGTACAGAGATTAAGAGCATGGATTTAGGGATCAATGGAATGCGATTTAAGTCCCAGCCCAGGAACTTGCTGGCAGTGTGACCTTAGGTAAGAACCATAACCTCTCTGAGCCTTTTACATTGGAGTTGTACTCTGGGGCTGTTGGGAGGATGGTAGGAGACCATCCACTTAAAGAGCCCAGTGCAGTGCCTGGCACTTCCATCACTGAACAGAGGATGCTCTGAAATGGTTAATGCCATCCTGATGGTTTCAAAGGGGAAACGGAGGCAGAGAGAGTCCACCTGAGTCATTCAAAAGATCAGAGGCAAAGTCAGAAATGGGACTGGAATTTCTATCTTTGAGCACCCCCCCATCCCCCTCTGCCCCAAGATGACTTGTGGGTTGCAGGGGATGAGAAGATACTGGGTAGCAAGCAGGGGGCGGGGGGGTGGGGTGGGGCTAGGGAGCCTTGAATTCCTGCAATAGAGAGAGTCCCTTTCTGAGGGAGCCTCCGGGAGGCTCTTAGGAGGCCAGGAGGAGGGAGGGTGTGATTTACCCAGTCATTGCTCTGAGATACAGGAAAGGGAACAAAAGGTGCTTTATGGTGAGTGCTGCTGGCAGAGGTGTGGGAGGGAGGAGAAGTGTGCCTTGGGAGGGGGCAGGGAGGGGGAGAATGAAACCAAGGAATCCTCCTAGTAGAGGGGCCAGTGGAATCTTGCCTGGGGCCCAAGGAGAAGGGGAGAAAGGTGGATTTCGCAGGCCCCAGAGGCAATGGGGGTCAGGGGCAAGGCAGATAATGGGCCAGCAGGAGCCTGCTTTTATGAATTAATGAGGGCCTGGCCCGCCAGCCAGATTTGCTAACTGGTTCTTGGCAGGTACTTTGGGCATTAAGTGGTTAAACCGGGAGGCACATCCCTAGGCCTCCCTCCTGTGGCTGCACCTCTGCCAGCATTACTTTTAGAGCTTGAAAGCTTAGGCGAGTGGAGGGAGAGAGCAGAGCAGAAGGAGACAGCTGTTGGGAGGAACCCCTGGAAGGGGCCAGATGTACAGCCTTCCTGCCCACATGGTCTCTTGCCTGCAGTCACCCGCTTGCCTGGTGAGAGGCCAGGGCACAAGCGCCTGAGCTGTGGATGTGAGAACAGCCACGCCTGGGGATAATTAAATATCCCCCCCCCCCCCCATGTGGGCTGGGTGGACGTGGTGATCACACCTCTGATTTTTTAAAAGTTATCTACATTGGGGGTAGGGAGGAGTGAGTAGGAGCTTCTGTTTCCCCTCTGGTCATCACCATATGTGATGATAGGATTGCCCTTTAGTGTCCCTAGCCCCCAACGACTTGCTTGTCACATAGTAGGTTCAGAAATCCATGAATCAGTTAGAAACTATGCGAGACAGGTATTATTGTTTCCCAAGTCCGGCTCCTCTCATTTTTTCACCGAGTGGCTATTGAGTGCCTACTGTGTGCAGGGCACTGTGGACACAGGAAGGGCCAAGACACAGAAGCCCCTGCTCTCATGAAGCCTATATTTTAGTGGGAATAAAGTGATTAAGTCAATAAAGATTGTTTTGGTTATTATTGCTGTGGAACCCATTGCTCCAAAACTTAATGGCTTAAAACTACTTGATTATGCTCATCATGTATGATTATGCCCATATATTCTCTGGGGTAGGAATTTATAAAGGCATAGCTGGGGCTCCAGGCTGACTGGGGGCTAGAGTCATGGGGTGGGGAGGGATCTTCATTTACAGATCTGGCCGTTGATGCTGGGTGCTAACTGGGACTGCCAATCACAGCACCTACACTCAGCCTCCTCTTGTGGCCTGGGCTTCCCCACAGCATGGCAGCCTCATGGTGGTTGGATTCTGACCTGGTGATTCAGAGCTCCAAAAGCAAATGTCTTGGGGAGCAAGTGGAAGCTGCTTGGC